TGCTATTCTTTTCAGAAAAACTTTGGGTCTATGAGAACACGAGTCAAGTGGCGAGATAATACCGCAATACTTAAATCGATGCTGATTATTGTTTCCCACGTTCAAAAATGGGAAAAGAATAAAAAGAAACAACTGTGATGACATTTCATAACATAATAAATAACAATATAACATTATTTCATTGAAATTGATTTTATTTCTAACAAAAACACAACTTATCCTGCCGCACATAGAGTAGTTTGTAAACATGGAACCGATATCGTGACTTAATATTCAGTGAAATCCGAACAAAGTATTGAATGTCAATTCTCATTTAGCAGTACTCATTTCAGCAACATGAGCGCATTATTCAAAGGAATACGAAGTTTTTTGAAAAAAGAGGCGATACCCACGCACGAGCGTCATATCCGTCTTCCAAGGTACTCATAAGAAAAAATATTTGTCCGATGTACCAAGACGTCTCGGACAAATTTACGGCCGGACCCAGTGACTCGTATTCATAACGTGCACTATCATTTCTTGCGAACGTTATAATTATTTTTCTTTATTAAATCACACAGCTCGTTAAACACTATTTTTTGAAGCTTTATGTAACCTTATTAGCCATAATTCAAGTATTTACTTCAATGTTCACTGTTATTCCATTGTAAAATAACAAATCAAAAATATTATCAATTTTCATGCATGTACAATATTCGTCTAATTTTCAAATAATCAAAATTCTATTAACGACAAAAATACTTTTGTGTTATAAATGAGTCATTCAAAATTGCGAATTCTTTTTAGACGCGGCAGCATTGGCCAGTGATGCTTTAAGGTGCCTGTACACGAGGACAGTAAGCCTACTGGCCGCCACTTCATTTGCCGCTTGAAGTGTCCACGCTATTGGCCTCGTGTATGAGTTCAGCTGCATCAGTGGCATTTGTCGGCAAGTGCTCGAGACGCGGCAGAGAGGGACAACAATGTGTTGTTTTCTTCGCCGAACACGAGGTTTATTTATACGAGAAGAGGCCAGTTGGGCTGATTCAGCCATGATGAGAGCATTTGTACGCTCGTGTGAAGCATCTTGGATCGAGTGAATCATGGCTTGTTTGAACGAGAATGGTTCTAAGAATAACCCAACAGAGTGGAGTCCAGACGATATTCAATTGTTCTTTGAGATATTCCAAGATATGAACTAATGTGGAATGTTCGCTATGCTGGTTACCCCAACAAAATGAAGAGAGAAACGAGTATTTTGCAACTGAAAGTAGACCTTATTAGTCAGAGTTTAGATGCTCCCGACGTTGCATTTTTAAGAGCTAGAATAAAGAGTATAAAAACAACGTACAGACTCGAGATGGTGAAGCCTGAAGGTGATCTCACTTTCCATTTTCACAGACCTCACTCGACGGCTTTTAACGACGCATTTGCGGGCACGAACGAGAAGATATCGGCCCCTTATACTGTCCTCGTTGAGATAGATAGGCACCTTATACTGTCCTATAAGGCTATAGTTACCAAGCGGCAGACATTTGCCTGATGTACGTGACGCCTGCACTGTCTTCGTGTACAAGCACCTATCTTCATTTATTTTCTGGACAGCGTCGTGATCAACTGCCAGACCTCTCATCCGACCACTTACCCATTATCATCACACTGCCTTCCACCAAAGGCACCAACTGGCACACATCACAAACCATTCGCAACTACAACAGAAGCTCCTGGGAAGAATTCACAAGGGAAACGAAGGTCTGCTTCCAGGAGCTGAACACACAACCCATCACCAACATTGACCACACCCTCACCCACTTCAACACCATCATCGCCGAAGCTGATAAAAAATATGTCCCCAAGGGAAACAGGAAAAAGTACAACCCTAATTTCACACCTGATATCTCCCGTCTCATCAGAACACGCAACAACCTACGATGCACACCAACACCACACTCACAGGCAACTACAGACCACATCCACGAACTGAATGAACAAATCAAAACCTCTATAATGAACAAACAGAAGCAACGCTGGGAAGAGTTTGTGGCGACACTAGACCACAGGACCGACTTCTCAAAACTATATAGAACAATCCGCAGCCCCACTAACTCCAACAGTGGCCTCACCCCATCTCACTCGGCTATTACCACCTCGGATACCATCCCTTCCCGCAAACAACAGTCCAACATATTGATAAATTATTATACTAGCATCAGTCACCTACCTAAGCACAGGGCAGACAAACAAATTTACAGGCGCAAACACAAATTTCCACTAGCGAATAATTACATCCTAGCCACAGCATCAGACACCTCACGCGTCATAAAACAGCTCAAAAATTCTTCAGCCACGTGGCCAGACAACATCTCTAACATTCATCTGAAACACCTCGGCCCGCATGGTATCATCACTCTCACAAATATGGCCAACTTTTCATTTGCTAACTGCATTATACCATCAATCTGATAAACCGGCAAAATCATAACTCTCCTGACACTGAACAAACCCCCCACCGAGGCAGCCTCCTACAGGCCCATTACACTCCTCTGCACACCATCCAAAGTTGCAGAGCGCCTCATACTCTCCATAACCACGCCTCACATTCCCCTCTCACCCACACAACACGGTTACAGGACCCATCACTCCACCACCACACTCCTCACCAACCTCACACAACGTATACAGGATGGCATTAACTCCAAGCTCCTTGCACATCGCACACTCCTGATTACAATCGACATTAGCAAAGCCTTTGATGCCATCCCACGCCTCCTACTCACAGACAAAATCTATAATACAACACTACATAACAACACCAAACGTTGAATTGCCAACTATTTAACAGGCAGACAGTCATTCGTTCACTACAACGGCAAATCATCACACACAAAGAACATACCGAACGGAGTACCCCAAGGATCAGTCCTTTCACCAACACTTTTCAACCTTTACATGCATGACATTCCAGCGCCATTCCAGCCCCACCAGACAACATTCACATTTCGTCTTACGCAGACGACATCACAATTACATCAACACACACCAATACTAACACATGCTCTACACAAGTACAACCTTGCATCACACAACTAGAGGGCTGGCTAGCACGCAACAGACTCAAAGTAGCCCCCACCAAATCAACAAGCACACTACTAACAAGCCACACAAAGGAGCATCAGCACAGGCCCAGAGTCACTCTAAACAACACCATCATACCACACGCACATGAAACCAAGATTCTAGGTGTCACTTACAACACTTCTATGTCTTTCGGACCACACATACAGAACATAAAAACAAAATGCAGACCTAGGCTGAACACACTCCAAGCCCTCACAGGAACAACATTCGGACAGAACAAAGAAACCCTCACACTAGTGTACAAACAATACGTACGTTCAGTGCTGGACTATGCAAGTCCAGCCTGGGCACCCATAATTTCACCCACACTTCACAAACACCTACAAACCATACAAATCACAGCCCTCAGAATCGCACTTGGCAGCACCCAAACCACACCATCCAGTCACGTGACTCACGTCCATGCAGAAACCAAAGTCCTCTTTCTGAAAGAACACCTAGACATGAGAGGCGCCCAATTCCTTGCATCAGCACTCCACAACCCCCTCAGTCCCTGCCATCACTTTCAGTACCAACCCCCTACACACAGACACATTGCCAACACTCCATACAACTACTAACTCACAATAATGTATTCCATACCTCCGCCAACAGACCCAGCCAACTTCATTAAATACATACATACACACACCTAACCCGGAACGCACTGAAAAATCTACCAATCAATAGCATCATTGACGACATACCACCAGACATCAGCCATACAGAACAGCAGTTGAGCCGTGCAGACAGGCCGGGTGCACCTCAGCAGACTCCGCTGCAGTCACCATCCCTCACTAAACTCTTACAAACACCGCATGGACAGCACTCAAACGGACCTGTGCCCCCAATGTTATTCACTCCCCCACACCGTCAAGCATCTTCTGCTCGAGTGCCTGGAGCTGGCAGCACCCAGGCTCCGGTCAGGCATAACATCCATCGCGCAGCTATGGTCCGAGCCGGCTCGGGTGGCGGCTTTCTTGCGCGGCACGGGCTTCCTGGCGTGACCGGGGCTCGGGGAACACCAACAACAAACTGCCAGGGGTGAGCTGCCAAGTCAACCTTTAGAATTTAATATGGATAATTGTGTTTTTAATATTGCCAACATTATAACTGAATAAACATTTGTATCCACAACATTCTTTTAATATAGTGCTTATTCCATTTTTTTCATGTCGTATTTTTGTTATAACAATCTTCCAACACCTCAGATGTTGGTCGGCGCCATCATTCTTCATTCCATCAATTGACATATTGAATCTTCATCTTTACCCCAACCTACATAATACATATTAACCCTAATTAATTACAAGAGGGGCGGCCGTTTGTAACTTAATTCTAAATCCAATCTCTACCCTTTATCTCCTCTCTTTCTTCACGACCACTAGTGAAAGCCAAAATAATGTCGTTGTGGATATCTGTCTCGACGAAGACCGTGAGCGGCTTAAGCAGCAGTCGACCTGGGCAAATAACAGCTCACGATTTATTTCTGTCGCTGTATTTTTTACTCAAGTGATCTTGGCAATGAGCTTTCATTCTCTACCCGTTGGGTTCAACAAACTATTTAGTCATCAGCGTCTGTCACACTAATGCAAAATGTTATATATAAATATCACTTTCGCAGCCACCTCCGAACAGAATTCGAACTGGACCCCATAACATAATGAAGGCTGTCATAACTCTGAGTTTTTACCCCCTTCCTTTCTGATTTATTCGCCATTGACTAATTTATAATATGATCGTGTCAGCGTCGATTAGGCTGTTAGACCTGCCACTGATTCTTAACATCGAAGAATATTCCAAGTTTGTTGTGGTCTCGAACACGCAACTCGCTGCTCCAATTTTGCGATAGAACAAATTAGTGATCTAAATTAATGTGATCTAAAAGTTACCAAGAAGCTGATCGAGAAATCCTTTGGTATCGCTATCACTTTGAAATTAATATGACAATACATTCACGCCGAAAGGTTGCAAAAGTCAATAACACTTCGTGAACAGCAATGTGCATTATTTATGTTTAGGATATTATTTCATTACACATGCTACATATTCTATTTGACGTGCTTAGATTGAAATAAATTGCTGGAATAGCATTAGCAGAGTTATACAGGTATCTCATGTACGAGATAACTCAATAATGGTAAATCTATTTAGAGTAAGGATATGATGTAGGAACCATCCAGCCGATCAGCGGGCCAAATAAGTTTCACATGGTAATAGTAACAGTACTCGTAAAATCGGTATCAGTTTTGATTACAAACAAAATTAAATGCGACTTCCGAAAATGCGACTACCTGCTTCAATTTGGCTGTGGTTAATTTTGTTGCTCCCCGATATTTCGACCAGAACTGTCGCTGGTAGCTGGAATCGAACCCAAATCGCACTGCCCCAGTTCATCTTGAAACTCTTAACTCTAACCACTGGGCCGCCCATTGTGTCAAGACTTTAAGTACGTCCAACAACACTTACCCTCAAGTACATATATAAAAGATTTCACCAGGCCATGTCTAAGAACCACAGCGTGTGTAATCTTAAATTACATTGGCAACTGAGAGGATATAAAAGAACATGAAACTGCAAAATACGGTGCTAAGTGAACCGAAAAGTATGTAGTTCAAAACTTTAACCTTTTTTATAATAGTTTTTTCATCGTAACATTTCTCATTGAGTTTCTTCTCGGCATCCAGTTTGTGATGGTAAGAATTCAAGAAGGTGTTTGCAAGAACAATAAGGAAGCTGAAGGCAATGAGCGCAGCATACCACACATCTAGAAGCTTGAGATACGAAGTTTGCACCGAAGAGGAGTTGGCTTGAGTAAAGAGAGCCGTCAAAACTAGCAGGGACGTCAGGGATACCATCACACGCTCGTTGAAATCTTCGACTCTGAACGCAGCGGTCGAGAAAGAAATGAGCAAAATGAGGAAGCTGGTTAGGTAACTGTTGAGAACGTGGTACCCATACAGGCTCTTTAGTTCGATCATGAGCGATACCGACTGGTTGTAGTTGACCTCTCTTCGCCATGTGCGAGACACCCAGAATTCCCTCACGTCACGACGACCATAGAAGTGGACATCGTCTTCTAGCTCGTCATGAAAACGTTCGTAAATTATTTCGTCAAATTCAGTTGCGTCCACCCAAATATTGAGTTCACATTTCTGGTCTCCGAACGGATATTTTCGAAGATCAAAGCGGCACGGAACTGTGAAGATTCCACTGAGCGTGTAGACCAACTCTAGTGATGACCCACCTATGAAGCGACCTGAAAACAAAGAGTTTCGTTATGCAAGTACGTATGGAACTGTTAATAAATATTTTATGAAAATTTACATTTCCAATTAGTTCTTATCTCTATTTATAACATACAATTTGATACTTATAATGTAGGCAATCACCAACCCATGCATACCACATTTTATTGACGGTATGCAATCACTAACCCCCGATACCGTCAATGAAAATCATCAGATCCAAACGTCAACACTCAACAATGGCTATCATCAACCAGTCAACCACCGCATGCCGCCAACGCTAATAAATTAAGCCTACAGGTCTTAAACTTTAATCAATAAGCACAAATGTTTAAAATGCACATTATTTACCTCATTTGTTCTCAATGTCAGTCCTAATTGCTGTCAACACCAATCAAGTCTCAAGTGCCGTCAACACCTATAACCAGTTCCCAAATGTTGTCATTGAGCTCAAACTCAAATTGTTACCAGGTTCGAGTTTCCAATCCGCTTCCGGCAAGCTTCGTGATTTTTCTAGATTCTCCATGAAATGAGTCATGCACAGCAAATTCAATCTGTAAACCTTAAGATTCTCCAGGTAGTACGTACCCAGCGTTCGTTTAGGGACACTCACCCAAGGCCATACTGGAAGCACCACCTTTGACAGCGACCAATCGCCACGCACCAACGACACGTAGAAATAAACCGAGATTACCAAGGCACAAACACACCACTAGCTCCTTTCATCTCGGTTCTGCTACCACTGCCCAAAACTGTGTGGTACTGCACAACAGCGACGCGACTTAAATGCACCAAATTGTAGGTTATTATCAGTCTTACAGCTCGAATTTGCGGTTTTGAACCCGACCGACATGTTAGGTGAAATTCTCTCACCCATGTAGGGATCATCTGTAGATTCATTGAGCGGATGATCGTCTAGCAGATCCATCATGCAGCCGTCGGTGAACTGCGCTGGAAGGGAAACCCAGTGTCCCTCAGGATGGCCATCAGCCGCGACGTACTTTGGGGACCAAATTTTATCACATTCCAAGTTTTTGTGCTTGACCGGGTTCCATACGGTCAAGCGAGGATCTCTCCAGTGTACCGCAAACTCGACGTCTACTTCTGCGTAGAAGTTTTTGGTCCTTATGGGTGCAATGGAATAAACTCGAAAGAAGTATTTCATGCGTAATTTTTCTTCGCCAGGGAGTGGTGGAGGCTTTAATATTGTATCGTAGCCGGCGTCCTTGAGGATGAAGTCGCAATTTTCTTCGTCACTTTTGTCCTCACACTCAGCAACGCCGTCGCAACGAGAACTTTTCGGCAAGCATTGCCCCGAATTGCAGCTGAAAGAGTGCGTGCTACAAGACGAAAGCCCAAGCGTGCACGACATACCGATCAATGAAGAATAAATAGCTAAACCTATGTACATCAAGAAAATTGTAGAATAGTAACGCGATTCACGAACGACGGGGTGCACAATTTTATCCTTCCTAATAATAGTTGAAAGACAAAATTTGCAAAATTTATTTCAATGTACCTGAAATGAGGAAAAATAGCTGGAATAGCATTCCAAATTTGAGACTTGTATCTTATTTAGGACGCGAGTTATAATTTAAAGAAATAGTGAATAAACCTCATAGGACTGGACACGACCTGACGGCGCCTCTAAGATCCTTCAGGTAGTACGTACCTAGCATTTGTTTAGTGACACTAAGCCAAGGCAATACTGGAAGCACCACCATTGACAGCGACCAATCGCCGCGCACCAACGACACATAGAAATTAACTGAGATTACCACGGCACAACCACACCACTAGCTCCTTTAATTTCGGTTCTGCTACCACTGAGCAAAACTGTGGTATCTGCGGTAATTACGTGCTGCACTAAAGTGGCGCGCCTTAAATGCATCAAATTGTAGGTTATTACTTATCAGTCTTAAAGCTCAAATTTGAGGCCTTGAACCCGACCAACAGGTTGGGTGAAGTTCTCTCACCCATGTAAGGATCATCTGTAGATTCATTGAGTGGATGATCATATAGTAGTTCCATCTTGCAGCCGTCGGTGAACTGCGCTGGAAGAGACACCCAGTCTCCTTTGTAGCCATCTGCCGCGAGATACATCGGGGACCAAATTTCATCACAGTCCAAGTCATTGTACGTGTCGAAGTCATTGTACGTGACCGGGTTCCATACGGTCAGGCGAGGATCTCTCCAGTATACAATAAACATGAGGGTCACTTCTGCGTAGAAGTTTGTGGTCTGCATGGGTGCAATGGACCAAACATCGAATTCGTATTTCATGCGCAATTTTTCTTCGCCAGCGAGTGATGGAGGCTGGATTAGTGTGTCGTAGCCGGCGTCCTTGAGGATGAGGTCGCAATTTTCTTCGTCACTTTCGTCCTCACACTCAGCAACGCCGTCGCAACGAGAACTTTTCGGTAAGCATTGTCCAGAACTGCAGCTGAAAGAGTGCGTGCTGCAAGACGAAAGCCCAAGCGTTATGTTAGATGCACCACATTGCCAAATGTTCCTCACGAGTGGTAGCGTAACGTTGCTGGTATTACACTTTGCCTTGTGGAGATTGGATTCGAGCAGCCATTCACCAGCAAGAAAATTAATGAAGGAACTGGAGCCCTTGAGCTTCCAACTTCCATCTAGCTCTGATATTAGTACGTACTGCCGGTCAAAGATGGCTATCTTTCCATATAAATGAATAGGAAGAGATGTCTGCACCTTGCAGATGCTGAAGTTCAAAGGAAATAAACATGGAAGTGAACTCAGGGATCCATTGCGCATTAACACAGAGCACCAAGACTTGAAGCTCTCCGCCACGTCACTTTGACCCTCTAGCCATGAGATGAACTCTCCATCGATGCTTGACATAAATATAATAGATTTTAATTTATTAGCATAGGCAACCACGTCTTCTTTTGTCAGTATTGAACCCTGAAACTTCTTGCAACTATCCCTATGTTCGAAATAGTTGTTCCTTGATTCTAATTTAATCAAGGTACTCTCATCCTTGCAAAGAACACTCAAGGGTTCTTTGTCAGCAACGTCATGGCTTAATAAGGAAGTTCCATTTATATGAGACTCACAGGGTAACAATGAATCGAAATTATCTGCCAAGTAAAGTTGCATTTGCTTTAGGTACACCCACGTGGTCTCCTCACGACAAACTTCTCGAGGATTTAACTGCCATATTGTAGAATACATATTAATTGGCCCGGCGTTCATCATGCCAGATGAAGACGACACTTCTTCATCGCCCTCTTCCTCTTCCTTTTCTCCATCGAATTCTTCTGTTGAATTCCCAGCGAGATCAAACATTGGAAATATTTCCAACTCGGTATTTCGGCCCACTCGGACTTGAACCTGCTCGGTAGTGGAGAAAAAAGTTTTTACCGACAATTCATGTTATCGAATATCACATTCAAATTTTCTCGGAATTTTAAGCTAAGGCTAAAGCTAAAAAAATGCTTTACAACTGCTGTAATTCAAATTATTTTAGCAATTGTGTAAGTGAATATTTTATAATGAAATACCTGAGAATTAAGCAAGTCCAGAGCGATAAGAAGCCTCAACCATTTGGTGACCGGGAAGAGGGTTAGGGGCTTATGAACACCTGAGGGGAGCGCGATCTCCAGCTCGCCCGACGCACGCAGTTCTAGGAAAATTATTGTCCTAGAAAGATTGATGCACGCAGTCAAAGACAGATTTTCTTTGAAAAAAGGTGCTCTCTGTCCCTTGAAAAAGTTGTTAAAGAAAAAAGTGCACGCTGTTCCAGAAAAAGTCGCGGAAGAAGGGGTTGTAAGCAGTCTTAAAATGAACGTCTCATTTAAAAAGAACGCATCCCCATAGAAAAGAAGCTGACTTTTATGTAATGTCTAGAGTGATCCACTCAGATGTCTATAGCTGTCAAGACAAAGTGATAGAATAGAATAGAAGTGTCGGCATGCACTGATGAAATAGGCCCATGGCCTTTTGCCGATTTTTGAAATTTTCGTGACTTGATTCAGAAGGGATCCAGCCTTTGGAACCCGATCTTTCCATAACTAACGATTGATTGAGATAGCTGCTGGACTTATTGCCTGGTCCGTAATTTGCTAGGCATTTTAAGACTGAACATATGCTCCAGCACAGCTTCGTCTGGACTTATTGCCTGGTCCGTAATTTGCTAGGCATTTTAAGACTGAACATATGCTGAACATATGATGCACTCAGTCTTAGAAAAGAAGCTGTTTCAGAAAGAGTAATATTATGTACGCATTATCAGAAAGATAGTTGTCTTAGAAGAAATGAGTACCTGGGATTTGCTGACAGGAGGAAGCAAATTCTAAATCCTGTTTCTTTTTTTTTTAATTCTATTAGTTCTGGTGGCATGATCCTATGAAAAGGATTATAATTTGAAGTAAGATATGATTATAATTAGAAGTAAGATATAAATCATATAATAGATTGTCTTTTAATAGCCATCACTTATAGAACATCATTGGGTAATGCAACATACGACACAACTCACTTGCTTCAATTGTGTAGTTAGTGAAATTCAGGGTGAGGAATGTCCGACTGTTTTCCTCTTTCCCCGGCTCGACAGGGTGGTTGAGCCAGTGCTCCTCATCGAAGTATTCTACCCAGTCACCATCATGGGGAACCTTAACCATCACCGAGATGACGAGAAAAGCGCTCGTTAATGGCAACGAGTCATTTGCCAAATTAACTGGATAGCAGCGAATGGTGCTCGACGTTCCAGATGGCCCAGATGTTCCCGGCGGTCCTGGCGCACCCATTGAAGAATCTTGTGCACCTGTTACGATAGTAATGGATTGTGTTGAATATATTTATCGTCGTTAAAGTTCTTGCATAGACAAGGGACCGGATTAACACTCACGCAATTATGGATTTTTAAATAAAATTTATATTCGTCACGAAATAACTTTCACGTACCGGGTCGAACAATTATAAAGAGCGCATGGATTACTTCTGATTGACCCGTAGAAGAAAAGCTGTGTTATTTTCAGAAGAAAACCAAGTAAAAATGAAGTAAATTGTAGAGTATTTACGTAGGAATATATTTTTGTCAAGTATATACCTGGCGCCGGAGAACCAGCAGCAGAGATGCAGACTAACGACACCAGCAACACAAGTCGCAGGCAGGCGGTGGTCGTGCTCTGCATCGTGGCAGGAGCGTGACACGAGCTCTGCTAGGTCTACGTGAGCTTAGGGTCTACTGGGTGTGCTGGGTCAGGGTCTATTGGACCGGGTTCTGCTGGGTCAAGGGAGTTCGGGTCTGCTGGATCAGGGTCAACTGAGCCCGGTTCGGTTGGGTCTGGGTCAAGAGAGTTCGGGTCTGCTGGGTCTGGGTTTACTGGGCCCGGTTCGGCTGGGTCTGGGTCAAGAGAGTTCGGGTCTATTCATAATTTCTTTGAAATGTTACTGTAATTCATTGACGCCATGATCGGTTAAAAATCATTGCATTACTGAAAATCATTGCTTTACTGCGTTACTGAAATTCATTGCATTAATGCATTAAATTTGCTTATTATGGTCACAAATAAAAGTTTTGGTATTGTTAAATACCTAAATCTGGACGTTTTCGTCTTTTGTTAGTTAAAAATTAATATTGTGTAGACAGTTATTGCCAGCGGTTGGTGTGTGGTGAATATGCAGTTCGGAACCTGCACTGGCATGAGATGTTCTTGAAAATATTGACAATAAGTGTTTATTGTGTTCAAGGTTTGCGTTGTGCTACTCGCTACAGCAGAATACCAATGGTTGAATTAATTGGTTCAATCATGAGATTACCAAAATACCAACCCACCACTCCTACCAAACGTTCCGCCTCAACTGAAGTGACAGAGCCCGCAGTTCAGTTAAATACATCGCTGCCATTTATGATATTGCAACGTTCGTGCGAAAAGGACCTCGTTGGTTACACGCGCACTGCAGCCATCAGCAGAATTGCATCGTTTGTGTGGGAATGAACAAGTTTATTGCTTGTGCACTGTAGGAACCATACCGTCTGAAGGAACCATACTCTCTGCAGGAACCATACCGTCTGCAGGAACCATACCGTCTGCAGGAACAATACTGTCTGCAGGAACCATACCGTCTGCAGGAAACATACTGTCTGCAGGAACCTTACCGTCTGCAGGAACCTTACCGTTTGCAGGAACCATACCGTCTGCAGGAACCATACTGTCTGCAGGAACCATACCGTCTGCAGGAAACATACTGTCTGCAGGAACCATACCATCTGCAGGAACCTTACCGTCTGCAGGAACCTTACCGTTTGCAGGATCCATACCGTCTGCAGGAACCATACTGTCTGCAGGAACCATACCGTCTGCAGGAACCATACCGTCTGCAGGAACCTATACCGTATGCAGGAACCAAACCGTCTGCAGGAACCATACCGTCTGCAGGAACCACATATACCGTCTGCAGGAACCATACCGTCTGCAGGAACCATACCGTCTGAAGGAACCATACCGTCTGCAGGAACCATACTGTTTGCAGGAACCATACCGTCTGCAGGAAACATACCGTCTGCAGGAACCAAACCATCTGCAGGAACCATACCATCTGCAGGAACCATACCGTCTGCAGGAATCATACCGTCTGCAGGAACCATACCGTCTGCAGGAACCATACCGTCTGCAGGAACCATACCGTCTGCAGGAACCATACCGTCTGCAGGAGCCATGCATGAGTCGCTGTTTTCAAGTCGCCGCATGAAATTCCATTCTCATGAAATTTTTAGATCAATTTATTTTGGTTGTTGTTTTTGGTCAATAAATCACTAGGTTGAAATTTTTAGCTCATTAATTAATTCTTTACGGAGCAATAATCTTTGAAATGCCAATTCGAAGAGTCAAAATCGTACGACTGTGGCCCTATTTTCAGATTATAAAATGGCCTTCGCAGGGCGACGAACATTTATCCCTCTGCTATCTGAATAATTTGTACAATTAAAGTTTTGCAAATTCGAGAAAGAATCCTTTTAACACCAATGTTACCGCTTAAATGTAGTTTATATGTTGAGAGTACGACCCTTTTGCAGACGAACGTCGTATTTAAATTAACCGCAAAACAGGAGGGCATAGTCCTGCACGCTAAGCCTTCTTCGTGTCATGATCAACTCATCCAATTTTCCAAATGAATAGACCACGTGTGGCTCATGTTTAAAAAATATGTTTTTTGTTGTTCTAGCAAGACGAAAATGCCGTGCATTGTCATGCGGCATCAGTTAGATGCAATCTACCTGAAAGTTTTCTGTTGAAAACGCAGCAATTCACTGGATGAGTTTTACTCTTTCCAAGATAGATTTTTTATTCGTGTAAATATTCATGTGAATAAATTTTTCATGAATCCCATAACTTAATACATACGTAGGTTATAGGATTACATTCTATTTATATTCAAAAATTTTTATATCTTAATAATTGTACAGCCTTACCATGTTGAAAATTGATATACTTAATATTATCAGAGAATTTTTTAACATATTGTTATTCTATAAGTAACCTTGTGAAATGTGTAGACTCCTCCACACAATTAAAAATTCACAACTTAATCCTGATAAATGCCGAAGATGATATTGCGGGCATTGAACGCCTTATCATGAAATATTTATAAAACGCCTTATCATGAAATATTTATAAAAATATTCTACGGTATATACAGCATTCAAAACCACACAAAAGATGTTCAAAATTGTTTTGAAAATAATGAAATCGATCAATTTCTTGGTTGGAAATTTAATTTATGAAAGCTACGCTGATATGAATCTCGTCATAAAGACGCTCAGCAATTATTTTCCCTCGTACAACAAATTCGAATTACAGTTCTACGGCTTACTGATATATATCTTGATAGAATAATTGTATGAAATAATGGTAATAATGCATTTAACCTGCTTCGAATAATTTTCCTGATTAAATTATAATTCCTTCCGCCTTATACCTTGTATATTAATCAAAGATAATAGAAGACATTTTTTTTGCGGCAGGAGAGGACAATTTAGTCAACTCCGAAATCGAGACTTAGTCGACACGTTGAGTGCGGGACGACTTCGGTAAGGTTTCAGGATATTTTTTTCCGGACAAATTCCGCGATTCAGCTTTTTTGCAATTGCGTTGGCCGGCAGAAATTTATAATATCGGCAGGTTTTTATTAAATTTTGAATAGTGACAAAACAAATTTAAATTTTTGCACAGGAACCTACAATTTTTTTAACGAATATCAATTTTAGATCTGTTTCTCCGCGGAATTGGCAGTTTTTATGCCATAGCACATCCATGCGACAACATTTCTTCTCGCTTCGAGTCACCGACATGTGGAACAGCCTCCCTGATAGCATCGTTGACGCTCCGAGTATGAAGGCCTTCAAGAACAGACTAGACGAAGCTATGCAGGAGCATATGTTCAGTCTTAAATTCTATTCTATTCTATGTGGCAACCTTGGTGGGTGGTATCGCACTCAACGTATTAAAGTTAAACCAACACTTCCGCAAATGCACGTTCACATGCCAGGTCTTACTCGGGTGATGACGCGAAGAAAATAGACCTCGGCCACGCTTAGACTCTAAGTATAATTGCGGTTATGCTTTACCCAAATTACTTAGCAGCATTGCAAAATTCATGGAACTTGGGATTATCATGCGATTATCGTGATTTTAGTATTACTAAACTGTAAACTTTGTATATACTGATATATTCTGTTAACGTGTAAGGAAATGGCTGTCAAAATGGATGATGTGAATTATTCATTGGCAATGAAAGAAAACTAAAATTTTTTTACCAGCTAAAGTCACGAACGAAATTCGTGTTCTGATTCTGTGCACCTTTGTTGGGTAGTTCGGTAGTCGGTGCGAGGATCTTATTTAATATTTTTGAATAATTGCAATCCATTACCAGGTCACTACAAGTCTACAATAAGTCGTGGTAGAATTTTAACCTCTTATTTACCTTTATCGCATCATGCATGAAAATTTTCAATAATTTGAATAATATATCCAATTTATAAGCATAATTTTATTGATTGGTTCTCTCTAAATTCTCATCTCTGAAATATTCCGTTTTTTAATGTTCAAAGACCTCTTATTCATTGAATCTTTTTGTTGTTGGCTTGTTGCAATAGGTGAAGTCTTACACCTTGATAACGTTTTTTTGGAAGCATTTTCTGGCGTTATAGAAAACCAATGTGCCCCCTTCAAGATATGGGGGACTGTTCCATCTCATCCAGACTGTGCATCACCTGCAAGCAATGTTACGTGCCAGAAATTCGTACGATAACACAAGAGCTGAACAAAAATAAGTTAAGTGTATACAAAGGAATAAGTTAGAAAATATTACTATAAGTTTATGGTGGAATTTGATCAGCTTCGGTAAAATTTGAATGGATGAAAAATTTTACTTCTGATCAATATTATATAATATTGTTATTACAGTCCAGCGACTTATGTGGCTGGGACAAAAGCTTGTATGTTTTGTCATTTTTCGATAGAGTAAGAATGTACATGAAGATTACAAAATAGAAAATAGTTCAAGTACTCATAAACTTCAATGTAAGCACGAAGTGTTTACATCGTTGGCGCTCCGAGTATGAGCGCGTTCAAGAACAGACTAGATAAAGCTATGGAAAAATATATGTTCAGACTTGAAATGCCTAGCACCATATCGAACCCGGTGGAAGTCTAGTAGTTATTTCAAACTATCGTCAGTCTTGAAAATATCCGATCAAATGACAAGATTTTAGATCTTCTATGAACAAGTCGCGAAAAGTTCAAGATTCGGCGACGGGCTACATCCCAGTTAAAATTTTGAGCCGATCATCAGGCCTACTCTAAACTCTTTAGCGCCGACATCACTATGATATGTTATGTTATGTATCGGTCAATGTCTATATATAAGAATATATAAGATTGTCAATGTCACTCTCTAGAACTTTATGAAATTGAATGGTCAGCTTTGATCATGACTGCAGGACACAGGAACTAAAGCTAAATTCACGCATATTATTTCACGTAAATACGCGGCGCTTTAATAAATTCACTACATCAGCGCTTTTGTCATACCTTCGCTACAGGAGAGATTGTCTAATTCCTTCACTACAGCGGACGTTCTTCAATGCATTTACTTCGCCAGTGATTCTTTAATACATTCGCTACAGTAGCGGTTCTTAAATACATTCACTACAGCTAGTCGCGATTCTTTAATACATTCGCTACAGTAGCGGTTCTTTAATACATCCGGTACAGTAGTGGTTCTTTAATACATTCAGTACAGTAGCGGTTCTTAAATACATTCACTACAGTAGCGGTTCTTTAATACATTCACTACTGACACTACAGTAGCGGTTCTTTAATACATTCACTACTGACACTACAGTAGCGGTTCTTTAAAACATTCAGTACAGTAGCGGTTCTTAAATGTATTCTCTTCAACAATGGTTTCTATCTGCGACACATGTGTTTGTGGCACGAAAAGGCATTACATGTAGTTTGCTAATTAACGCTTTCGAGGTATGAACAATTTTGTGTTAGCTATAGTTTCCTGCCTCACACGAGCCAATTTAGCTCGGAATGTTATCCACGCGTCATTTGTGTACCTGGTCTCAACAGCCTATAAATAAGTGCAAACAAAAAAGAATAAATATTCAAAAGGGCCGGTGTTGAGAAATCAGGATAAATTAATCCTCAAACAACAAACAATTCCTGCCTCAATCTCTCATGAACGACTTTAATGCAAAATTCTTTAAAATGAGTCAGGTCTCTGCAGCAAAACGGACCAAAATGAAGCGGGCGGGCTGAAAATCACGACGTAGAACAATTAAAACAACAACATTATTTCGGATAAACGTCATTTTTTCTAAAATTAATCTATTCTCCGGACCAAAACGGATGGAAACAAGGCGGGCCGAATGAGAAAATCACAGCGCAAAACCAGTGTCGTGAAGACAGCTGGGCGGGGTGACTCAAGCATACCTCCTCATCCCTTGCCTGCGCAGAGGGTGTGGCGCTTCAGCAGACCGTGCACAGCAACACCTGCGCGCCCGGTGCACAATTGCGAGCACAATGAAAATGGAGGATAACAAGACGCATTTGTGCCGGCGTCTTGATCCCGTGACGCATTTGTACCAGCGTATCACTTGTGCCGGCATATTGATACCGCGACGCATTTGTGCCGGCGTCTTGATAACCCAACGCATTTGTGCCGGCGTCTTGATAACACGACGCATTTGTGCCGGCGTCTTGATAACCGCGACGCATTTGTGCCGGCGTCTTGATAACACGACGCATTTGTGCCGGCGTCTTGATAACGCGACGCATTTGTGCCGGCGTATTGATAACCGCGACGCATTTGTGCCGGCGTCTTGATAACACAAAGCATTTGTGCCGGCGTCTTGATAACGCGACGCATTTGTGCCGGCGTCTTGATAACCCAACGCATTTGTGCCGGCGTCTTGATAACCCAACGCATTTGTGCCGGCGTCTTGATAACGCAACGCATTTGTGCCGGCGTCATGATAACGCGACGCATTTGTGCCGGCGTCTTGATAGCACAACGCATTTTGTGCCGGCGTCTTGATAACGCGGCGCATTTGTGTCGGCGTCTTGATACCGCGATGCATTTGTGCCGGCGTCTTGATACCGGACGAGTTTTGTGCCGGTGTCTTGATAACGCGACGCATTTGTACCGGCG